TGGGATTATGAAACACTAGTGTAAAACATCCTAGTAAACAGAAGCAATTGAAAGATTTACTTTTTAAACCAAACTTTATGTTTTGGTTATGCACAAAAATATTTTTTGCAGCTTATCTGGCACCAAAACCAAAAGGGACATTTATTATAAACTTATATTAATTAACAATAATTAGTTGTTATATTTTGTATTAGAAATCAAAAAATCTTTGGAACCAAGTTTTGAAGCATTGGCTTCACATACTTCTCAAATATATCAAGGAACCTTATATGCCACAGCAAGACAAGCTTCTTTTAATGACTTTTTAATCTGTGTTCTGTAATAAAAAAATATTTTTAATCTGAATAATTCTACCCAATTTCTGTATTCTGAACTTTCTGTACATTGATCTTTTAGGTGGCTATCATCATCCCATTCCGAAATCGGCATGAACACCTAAACCACTGGCTTTATTACCTCCATCCTATCCTGATACGTCAGCAGCTGGACTACGGAGTGTATGTCATCAACCAGGAGGGAGACGACGCTTTTAACCGCGCCAAACTGATGAATATTGGACACACTGAAGCCCTGAAGCAGTATGATTATGACTGCTTTGTCTTTTCCGATATAGACCTGATACCTCTGGACGATCGTAATCTCTACAGATGTTCTGATAAGCCTAGACACTTGTCGGTCGCTGTAGACAAGTTCAACTTTAAATTACCCTATGCCACCATCTTTGGTGGGGTCTCAGCTTTGTCCAAAGAGCAGTTTTTAAAAGTCAACGGCTTTTCAAATACGTTCTGGGGCTGGGGGGGTGAGGACGACGATCTATACCAGCGTATCTCTTTACGTGGAATGTCCATATCCAGACCAAACTCTGCCATAGGAAGGTACAAGATGATCAGACATAATAGAGATGCCCACAATGAAAGAAATCCAAATAATGTTCAGAAACTAAGAGAAACACATCTTAATATTGACACAGATGGGCTTAATTCTTTGAGATACACAGTCAGGGAGATTAGAAAGGACATACTCTTCACTTTTATTACTGTAGATGTTCAAGCTCCTACAGTCTGATTACCAACTGTAAATCCTAGTCTTCAGTTGAGCAAAACAAAAAAAGTCTACTTTAAAAATTTTTTTTTCCTGTGAGTCATTTTCTTTGTTTTTTTAGGTAAAATCAAGTCAGAACAGCTGTCATATCATATCATATCAAACAATCTGCAGTGATTAAGGCCATGTTCTCATGAAATGTATGTTTTGCATATGTGTAGTTGTTCATACAGCTAACCGTAACTTCACACTTCAGCCTGAACAGTTCACAACCAGAGAAGAGACCGCATGTGCACATAATGAAAGTACACATCTAACAGCAGCAGTATAGCACAGCAAATTTATTGCTTATGGAAGCGATGATATATATCAGTTTGTCATTATTAACTTCTTGACCAAAGGGAGCCCACAATATTATGACCACATCATGAAATAGATGAAAAAACTAGAAAAACAAAAACAGAGCACAACTATTAACAATAGTTTATATAATGACTCGACGAGTTGATAACTAGGGAACGTGATAACTTAATTACAACTTGCCTGATTGATACAGATTCGTTAAAACATTAGTCCAATACTGATCTGTGGTCCATGCTGGCTTCCTATTTCTACTTCCTGTTTATTACAGTCAAGTGTGGCCTAAAGTTAGTTCCAGTTGCTTCATCATAAAATGGCTGCAAACGACCCACAGCAAAAACTAAAGCAGAAAAGAAAGCCTAGTACCCTAGTTATCATATTTTATATGCCATCCAGAGATGTCATATGGATCATCAGGCACA